CACCCCACGTGAGTGACTCATCTACCTATCACGTGCTACAAGCACCCCACGTGAGTGACTCGCCTACCCATCACGTGTTACAAGCACCCCACGTGAGTGACTCGCCTACCCATCACGTGTTACAAGCACCCCATGTGAGTGACTCGCCTACCAATCACGTGCTACAAGCACCCCACGTGAGTGACTCGCCTACCCATCACGTGCTACAAGCACCCCACGTGAGTGACTCGCCTACCCATCACGTGCTACAAGTACCCCACGTGAGTGACTCGCCTACCCATCACGTGCTACAAGCACCCCACGTGAGTGACTCGCCTACCCATCACGTGCTACAAGCACCCCACGTGAGTGACTCGCCTACCAATCACGTGCTACAAGCACCCCACGTGAGTGACTCATCTACCCGTCACATGCTACAAACACCCCACGTGAGTGACTCATCTACCCGTCAGGTGCTACAAGCACCCCACGTGAGTGACTCGCCTACCCATCACGTGCTACAAGCACCCCACGTGAGTGACTCGCCTGTCACGTGCTACAAGCACCCCACGTGAGTGACTCGCCTACCCATCACGTGCTACAAGCACCCCACGTGAGTGACTCACCTACCCATCACGTGCTACAAACACCCCACGTGAGTGACTCGCCTACCAATCACGTGCTACAAGCACCCCACGTGAGTGACTCGCCTACCCATCACGTGCTACAAGCACCCCACGTGAGTGACTCGCCTACCCATCACGTGCTACAAGCACCCCACGTGAGTGACTCACCTACCCATCACGTGCTACAAACACCCCACGTGAGTGACTCGCCTACCAATCACGTGCTACAAGCACCCCACGTGAGTGACTCGCCTACCCATCACGTGCTACAAGCACCCCACGTGAGTGACTCGCCTACCAATCACGTGCTACAAGCACCCCACGTGAGTGACTCGCCTACCAGTTACGTGCTACAAGCACCCCACGTGAGTGACTCGCCTACCCGTCACGTGCTACAAGCACCCCACGTGAGTGACTCATCTACCCATCACGTGTTACAAGCACCCCACGTGAGTGACTCGCCTACCCATCACGTGCTACAAGCACCCCACGTGAGTGACTCATCTACCCATCACGTGCTACAAGCACCCCACGTGAGTGACTCATCTACCCATCACGTGCTACAAGCACCCCACGTGAGTGACTCGCCTACCCGTCACGTGCTACAAGCACCCCACGTGAGTGACTCATCTACCCATCACGTGCTACAAGCACCCCACGTGAGTGACTCGCCTACCCATCACGTGCTACAAGCACCCCACCTGAGTGACTCGCCTACCCATCACGTGCTACAAGCACCCCACGTGAGTGACTCGCCTACCCATCACGTGCTACAAGCACCCCACGTGAGTGACTCGCCTACCCGTCACATGCTACAAACACCCCACGTGAGTGACTCATCTACCCGTCAGGTGCTACAAGCACCCCACGTGAGTGACTCGCCTACCCATCACGTGCTACAAGCACCCCACGTGAGTGACTCGCCTGTCACGTGCTACAAGCACCCCACGTGAGTGACTCGCCTACCCATCACGTGCTACAAGCACCCCACGTGAGTGACTCACCTACCAATCACGTGCTACAAGCACCCCACGTGAGTGACTCGCCTACCCATCACGTGCTACAAGCACCCCACGTGAGTGACTCGCCTACCCATCACGTGCTACAAGCACCCCACGTGAGTGACTCACCTACCCATCACGTGCTACAAACACCCCACGTGAGTGACTCGCCTACCAATCACGTGCTACAAGCACCCCACGTGAGTGACTCGCCTACCCGTCACGTGCTACAAGCACCCCACGTGAGTGACTCGCCTACCCGTCACGTGCTACAAGCACCCCACGTGAGTGACTCACCTACCCATCACGTGCTACAAGCACCCCACGTGAGTGACTCGCCCACCGTGTCCCCCCACTGCGCGTGTCCCCCAGGAGGGAGTACTGTGCCCCGTTCTCCCCGCGCGACCTGCTCGCGTTCTCGCTGGAGCCGCTGCTCGTCTTCCCGTCGCACTACGCGGGGCAGGCGCTCTACGTGAGCGACACCGAGGCTTCCGCGCTCTGGAACGACGGCGGCGGCGGCGGCGGCGGCGGCGACCGGGCGGGGTCGCTGGGGTCGCTGGCGGGGGGGGCCCGGGGCGCCAAGGGGGCCCGGGGTGCGAGGGGGCCGGGCGTCGTGGGGGCCGTCGCCTCCCGGGACGAGCTCTAGCGGAGCGGCCGTGGCCGACGCTCGCCAACGGCCGCTGCAGAAGAGGGGCGTCCTTTGCCTGCTCTTCCACCGGGGCGTGGACGTTGTCACGGACCTGTGGATCGCAGACGAACCGCAGGTGGATATTGTCTGGGCTGCTGCTGCTGGGTGGGCAGGAGGTTGGGGGGGGGGGGCAGGGGGGGCCTGGGGTGAGCAGAATGGGGGGGGGGGGGAGGATTTAATAATCTTGCCCACCATCTTTCAACTGCCACACCAGGAGATGGATCAAACCGTTGACCTCTGGGGGGTCACGACCCCAGCTACGCTGCTACTGCTGACCACTGCACCGCACGGCGGCGACGTCACCGTCGTCGTCCCAGCTGCGCCCGCCCGGGTCCGTGAACCGGCACACCACGTCCAGCATACCTCTGCTCGCCGTAGCCGGGTAGTGGCGGTGGCTGTGCTCCAGAACTGTGGAGGCAGTAGCAAGGGTTGATGGATCATCCACAGATCCTGCGAAACTCCCTTCTTATCCGTGGATGGGTGTCGAGGAGGAGCCCGTATCCTGGCTCTGCCAAGAGAAGGCGGTCCAGCAAAGTGTGGACTCCACCTGTCCCATCTGCATGGGGATAGTGTGTGTTGTTGCCTCCTCACACGAGTGGGTTTCATTGGACGATAACTCCTCACGATGTAAAGAGGACCACAGAGCTCAGTGGGCAATCGTTGGTAGCGCCGGGGGCTCTTCACCACCGTGTAGCTGTTGCTGCCTTCCCGCTCCTCGTCTGTGGTTCCTCCTCCTGGCATCTCCCGAGTCGCACCCGTGGCGGCCCCCCATGGCCCCGCCAGGCAACCGTTGTTCATTTGTCCGCAGCGTTGTGGCGAATGTTTCGCGGTGAGAAGCGAGGCCACGCGTTGGCGCCCATTGCCGAATTAAAGTCGCCGTCGTGCGGAGCCGCGGCCCGGCCCGACCCCGTTCTGGAATTCGCTTTCATTTCTCCGGCGTCTGATTGGTCGTAGCGAGTGCGCGTGCGCACGCTTGAACAGGGGTCAAGGACAGTTATCTTTCTCACAAACCTTCAGCTGTATGCATGTTGAATTTCTTCTGCACCGTACGTAGCCAACCGCACGAATATGTGGGGCAAGGTTGTCCGTCAGCTCACCATCGGCATGCGTGAACTCTCGCCGTGCATGGAGCCGCAGGAAAGCCTCGAATCTCAAGAGCCTATTTTCAGGATGGTCCTGCCAAGTTCTCGCAGTAGGGAGGGGGGTGATGTTGCTGCTGCTGTGCAGGGTCACACGTCGAGTGACTTGCAGGGGATTTTTCAGCAGTGACTGGGATGTTTTTGACCCATACTCTTTGGTTCTATTCGGTAAAGTCACGTAGGTAAAAAATAAAACAAAAAACACGTTTCGGCCACAACACAAGTGGCCTTCATCAGGTGAAGGGACCAGACTGTCTAGAGGACAGCGCTGGAGTGAACACAGCCAAGCTCAGACCGCGACCTTTAAGCTGTGTGAGAGGAAACAGAGCGCCTTGACAAAGGAATTAGCATAAAAATTAGCATTTAATTGGCAGACTTAGCATGATGAACGGTGGAGAGGGGTAGAACATGTGCAGGTCGGCGAGGAGGGGAGGGGGGCGTTTACATATTGATGGTGTGAAAAGGGAATTTAAGCAGCTGCGAAAGTTTGGGTTACCACTACTTGAAAAAATATACTGTACTATTGAAAATTAGATTAATGTTTGGTTTGATTCAGAACATCTTTCCAATGGTTGCTTAATTTGAAACCATCCTCTCGGTTGAAATTGTGTCTGTTTGTAAATCACGAGGCAATTCAGATTTACAAACACAGACACAATATCAATCAAGAGGATGGTTTCAAATTAAGCAACCATTGGAAAGATGTTCTGAATCAAACCAAACATTAAACTAATTTTCAATGGTACAGTATATTTTTTCAAGTAGTGGTATCCCAAACTTTTGCAGCTGCTTAAATTCCCTTTTCACACCATCAATATGTAAACTCCCCTCCTCGCCGGTCTGCACATGTTCACCCCCTCTACACCGTTCATCATGTTAAGTCCGCCAATTAAATGCAAATTTTTATGCTAATTCCTTTGTCAAGGCACTCTGTTTTCTCTCACACAGCTTAAAGGTCGCGGTCTGAGCTTGGCTGTGTTCACTCCAGCGCTATCCTCTAGACAGTCTGGTCCCTTCACCTGATGAAGGCCACTTGTGTTGTGGCCGAAACGTCGTGATTTTTGTTGTTTTATTTTTTACCTACGTGACTTTACCGAATAGAACCAAAGAGTATGTGGATCCTTGCAGTCTCAAAAGCTTCAAATCTAGAATGTTTTTGACTGACACAGGTTTTACGCTGTGGGTGCGCGGGTAACTTTTAGCGACGGAAATCAAAACGGAGAGCCCGGAGGAAACCCATGCAGGGGAGAGAACATACAAACTCCGCACACAGACCGTTGGGGCAAGTGCCGTTAGTGAACGGCACTTCTGTGGGCCGGAATGGCACACGACGTGGGTGGATGATCAGCAGCACAGTGTGGCCACCATTGTGGCCACCTTTGTGGCCTTTCAGTTTCACGCTTCGTCGACCTCGGGGTGGGGGGGGGGTGAGGTGGAGGCCCAGGACCAGTTGAGATATTCGCCGGTTATTGGAATTGTGATCGCGAATCGAACTCCCGTGACCGGGTTCGTAGCGCTGTGCGTCGACTGCCGTGTCACCGCGCACGCACACACACAGACACTGGTCGGCCAAAATTGCGTGGAGATTTATTCGCGTAAACTGGGGCCTCGTTACAGTTTGGGCATTCACATGATATATGAGACCGTGTAACGTTGTGGGTGTGTGTACGTGTACAGCATGCGTGGGTGTGTAAACCTGTGGTGTGTGTTGATGCACACACACAACCCCTTGTGTTAGTCACCCAGAGTCCACCCACACCGGCACACACACACACAGGTCCCCCATGTAGCCTCTGCAGACTGTTGGGGCAAGCGTTGTTAACGAGCGACTATGGACGCCGACACGGCACAGGAGGGGGGGTATTGTGGCCAGCATTATACACGGCCGCCTTTGTCTCCCCCAGTGCTGACGTTTGCACGCTGCACCAGGCACTCGTTTAAGGCCGAGTCGACCTAGGGGGGGAAAGCCTTGAGCTGGGTGCAAATGTCACTCGCTGACCTTTGACAGCTGTGGTCCGGAAATTGAAATCAGTTCGCTCAGACAGTAGTGCAGTGCGCTAACCGGTGCGCCACCGCTCCCTAACACACACGCACAGAAATGCTCTGACAAATTCATACCGTCTCGCACACGCGGAGCGTTTGAATTAAAAGAGATTGCAGGACATACAAAGTCACATGCAGACTCACACGGACACACAAACTAGCAGATACACACACTCACCCAGACATGTGCGCACACACACAAACACAAACCCAGAGTCACACACATACACATTTAACTATGGAATGATGATAATTAACTTTGTGACACAAGACAGACACCCAATACAGGGACACATGGGAGCACGGACACACGCCCTACACACTGACACTTGCACTCCGTTACAGCCACAGACAATACCCCTCGGAGACCGCCACTCTCTCAACACACCTTCTCCGTCCTCTCTTCATCACTCCTGCCCCCCCTCCTCCACCACGCCATCACCTCACCCCACCATGGCTCCATCCCCTTCCATCGCTCGCCCACCCCGCCCATCACTCCCATCCTCTCCCCGCCCATCACTCCCATCCTCTCCCCGCCCACATCACGGCCATGGATACTCCTCCTCTCCCCATTCACGGGCAGCCTCCATCCACCTCGCATCACCCCGTCCCTGCACCCCCGCACCTCCCCCTCACGTCCCCCCCCCCCCCCACACCGTCGCATTACTCGAACGCGGCGATGAGCACCATCATGGCGACGCCGGTGAGCATGGCGACGAGCTGGCGGGCGGACTGCGCGGGGGGCGCGGCTCGGCCCAGCAGCTCGGGCAGGATGGAGACGGTGGCGATGTAGATGAAGCCGCCCGCAGTGAAGGGCAGCACCCACGCCGACGCCGCCTCGCCAGCCCCTTCCGCCAGCAGCGAGCACGCCGTGCCCGCAAGGGCGCCCACCGCAGTCAACAGCTGCAGCCACATGGCCTGCGTGGGAGTGGAGGGGAGATGTCGTCATCTTCGTTGTTATAACCGTGGTTATCGTCGTCGTCATCAGCAGCATCATCATCATAATTCGTTGTTATCGTTATCAGTTTAACATGTAGTAAGCTTTCGTGACCAATATCATTAATGACAAAGGTTTTTAGGTTAGATCGCGTGAGTATAAATGTGTCGTAAACCTCCACCACCCGACACAGCCATTGAGTAAGGGATTTGTCACGTAAACAACACGACAATTACCTACTGCTATTATGGCAAATCGCCCAGTGATGCTGAACTCAAATTGTAAATGTTGTGGAGTTACTCTCCAACACCAGTGGGCTGAAGTAGTCACTAATTGGCGTTTTGTTGACGTGACAAATCCCTTACTATTGGCAGTGTCGGGTGGTGGAGGGTAACGACACATTTAAACTTACACGATCTAACCTAAAAACCTTTATTATTAATATCATCATCGTCCTCCCCGACTTGCTTCCTGGAGCCCACCATCACTTACTCGCACACTCGTGTAAAGACAAAGGTCCCCCCTCCCCATATAACCTTCACACACTGGTGGGGCAAGTGCTGTTCGCGAGTAGCAGAACCTATGAAGGCCTGCGCGGCACACGAAGGGGTGGGTGGCCAGCACCACGCCCGGCCGCCTTTGTCTCCCCAGACGCGATATTTACTACACACCGCACCGCGCAGTCGACCTAGGGGAGGCCCAGGAACTGTTCAGATTATCGTAACCTCCCTTGCGGGTCTCTCAGTGCTCCGCTCCACCCCCCTCCCCTCCCACCTGTCTCTTGGTGCAGCCCGACTGCAGGAGGATGGCGAAGTCGCCGATCTCGTGGGGGATCTCGTGCAGCAAGATGGTGAGCGTCGTCACCACGCCCACGTTGGGCCCCACCAGGAAGGAGGCCCCGATCGCCAGGCCGTCCGTGAAGTTGTGCGTCACGTCCGCTGCCAGGTTCAGGTAGCCAGACACCTGCAGTTCTCCTGGAGACGCGGGCGAGACACGGGGGGGGACAAGTAGACGGTAGTACACAAGACCATGGAGACAGGTTTCAAGTAGCTGGACACCTGTGGTTCTCCTACACACACGCAGACACACGGGGGGACACACGCTGACTCGGCGAAATTATGACCCTGGAAGACATTAGAAAACAGGTACACGGGGACACATGGGGAACTGATGACACAGACATGGGGTCACGGAGTCAGAACCACAAGGACACCGACACACAGGGACACGGAGACACGCGCGGTCCCGTGACGCCTTCCGGGAGGGGGGGCGGTGGGAAGCCTTCTTCCAGCAGTGGATAGATCATGGCCGTCGTTCGGTGTGGGGGGGGGACGACTCATCCCCCCCGCACCCCCTCCCCCGTGTCACTCACGTTTGGGCTCCTCCTCCTCCCTCTTCTCAGCCGCTCCCTCCTGGGCCCCCCCCTGGTCCCCGTCTGCAGGAGCCACCTTCCCCTCCTGGGAGCTGGCTGGGTCCGGGCGTCTCCTCCGCACCCCCTCCCCCTCCACCTCCTCCTCCTCCCCATCCCCCTTCTCTTTATCCGATTTCTTCGCTCCCTTCTCTTGTTTCTCGCCTGCGCGCCACACACACAAAGGCCCCCTGTGTAGCCCACGCAGGCTGTTGGGGCAAGTGCTGTCAGCGAGTAGCACGGCACACTATGACGTGGGAGGGTGTCCAGCACCACTCCAAAGCCCTTTGTCTCCCCCAGTGCTGATGTTTACACGCCGGAACATGTACTCATTTAAGGCTGAGTCGATCTAGGGGCAGGCCCTGGACCGGTTCAGACAGTCTCCACCGATGTCGACTACTGGACATCTGTGAAAAAGAGCTTCATAGCTCATCGGATTCCTCCAGTATCAATAAATATTCTCATTCTGACCGTGAGTGGGAAACGAGCTAGGGTCGTCGGGTTTGTAGCGCACCGTGCTCACGACTGCACCACCACTTCCCAACTTACAATCGGACGCACACGCACACACACACACACGTGTGGATCCGTGAACTCACACTTCGTCCGTGACTATGACTTGCAAAGACTATGACAATGACCATGCCTATGCCGGAGCTATACCCGTGTCTGTGACTATAAGCACCGTGAAAGATAGCGACTCACCGTGACTGTGACCGTGACTGATAGTGACTCACCGTGAGCGTGACTGTGACTGATAGTGACTCACCGTGACTGTGACTGATAGTGACTCACCGTGACTGTGACTGATAGTGACTCACCGTGACTGTGACTGATATGACTGTGACTGATAGTGACTCACCGTGACTGATAGTGACTCACCGTGACTGATAGTGACTCACCGTGAGCGTGACTGTGACTGATAGTGACTCACCGTGACTGTGACTGATAGTGACTCACCGTGACTGTGACTGATAGCGACTTACCGTGACTGTGACCGTGACTGATAGTGACTCACCGTGACTGTGACTGATAGTGACTCACCGTGACTGTGACTGATAGTGACTCACCATGACGGTGACCGTGACTGATAGTGACTCACCGTGACTGTGACTGATAGTGACTCACCGTGACTGATAGTGACTCACCGTGACTGATAGTGACTCACCGTGAGCGTGACTGTGACTGATAGTGACTCACCGTGACTGTGACTGATAGTGACTCACCGTGACTGTGACTGATATGACTGTGACTGATAGTGACTCACCGTGACTGATAGTGACTCACCGTGACTGATAGCGACTTACCGTGACTGTGACCGTGACTGATAGTGACTCACCGTGACTGTGACTGATAGTGACTCACCGTGACTGTGACTGATAGTGACTCACCATGACGGTGACCGTGACTGATAGTGACTCACCGTGACTGTGACTGATAGTGACTCACCGTGACTGATAGTGACTCACCGTGACTGATAGTGACTCACCGTGAGCGTGACTGTGACTGATAGTGACTCACCGTGACTGTGACTGATAGTGACTCACCGTGACTGACTGATAGCGACTCACCGTGACTGTGACCGTGACTGATAGTGACTCACCATGACTGTGACTGATAGTGACTCACCGTGACTGTGACTGATAGTGACTCACCGTGACTGTGACTGATAGTGACTCACCATGACGGTGACCGCGACTGATAGTGACTCACCGTGACTGTGACTGATAGTGACTCACCGTGAGCGTGACTGATAGTGACTCACCGTGACTGTGACTGATAGTGACTCACCGTGACTGTGACCGTGACTGATAGTGACTCAGCGTGACTGTGACTAATAGTGACTCACCGTGACTGATATGACTGTGACTGATAGTGACTCACCGTGACTGATAGTGACTCACCGTGACTGATAGTGACTCACCATGACTGTGACTGATAGTGACTCACCGTGACTGTGACTGATAGTGATTCACCGTGACTGTGACCGTGACTGATAGTGACTCACCGTGACTGTGACTGATAGTGACTCACCGTGAGCGTGACTGATAGTGACTCACCGTGAGCGTGACTGTGACTGATAGTGACTCACCGTGACTGTGACTGATAGTGAATAACCGTGACTGTGACCGTGACTGATAGTGACTCACCGTGACTGTGACTGATAGTGGCTCACCGTGACTGTGACTGATAGTGACTCACCGTGACTGTGACTGATAGTGACTCACCGTGACTGTGACTGATAGTGACTCACCGTGACTGTGACTGATAGTGACTCACCGTGACTGTGACTGATAGTGACTCACCGTGACTGTGACTGATAGTGACTCACCGTGACTGTGACTGATAGTGACTCACCGTGACTGTGACTGTGACCATGACCGTGTCCATGGCTCCCTTTGATGTGTCTCACGAACATCTCCACGGCGAGGAACACGATGATTCCGCACAGAACCCAGAGGCCCACGGACATGAGGTGCGAGCCAGGGCCTGCAAACAAAGACAATGACTCCCCACCCGTGTAGCCTTAACAGACTGTTGGGGCAAGTGCTGTTAGCGAGTAGCACCTATGAAGGCTGGCACGGCGCACGAAGGGATGGGTGGCCAACACCACGCCCGCCCGGCCGCCTTTGTTTTCCCAGTGGCGATGTTTACACACCGCACCAGGTACTCATTTGAGGCCGAGTCGACTTAGGGGAGGCCCAGCATAAATTCAGATAATCGTCACTGGTGTTGGCCGTGAGTGGGAATCCAACTCAGGTTGCCGGGTTCGTAGCGCAGTGCGCTCGCCACTGCGTCACCGCTTCCCGCACACACAGATACACACACAACACAAAGACATACACACGGACAACAACAGCAACAGACGCCATTCCCCATCAAGTGGTGCCAGGCCAGGTGCACTTTGAGGCCACGTGAAGCGTCGAAGCCTCGCTGACAGGAGGTCACGAGACAGACCCAGGTGCCATGGGTTGTTTGACTTGAGATACACGTAGGCACGCAGAGATGTATACACACACAGTATGAAAAGTAATAAGAGGTTTTACCTTCGCTGAAATTAAAACAGTTGTTAAGATGTTCAAACACCAAACACAAAAGTTTTTGCTAGGAATCAAGTCTGCATTAAGCACGCATACTTGTGGTGAACATGCATACAAACATGCTCTTACATACCTGTCAACCCCTTATCAGTGCCTACTTGATTACAGATCAATTCAGAGCTTATTGGTCCAGCCGTGCCCTTATAAATCTCAACGATCATCCTGCAAAGTCCCATATGGACCTGAAAACTAAATTTCCTTGTACAAGAATAAGGGCAAACCGTATGGGTTGACAGGTATGCTCTGATAATATATGCACTGCCTTTGAAACCGATTGGCCTACATTATCAGAAGCATGTTTGTTTGCGTGTTCACCACATGTATGAAGTGTGGTTAATGCAGACTTAATTCCTTGCAAAATGTTTCTGTTTGGGGTTTCAACATCTTAACACAAAAAAAATGTCACATGAGATATACGCACGCACACACAGTCCGTGTTGTCTCACCGTGGCTGTGACCGTGTCCCTGGTTGTGCGTCTCGCCGTGTCCGTGGCTGTGTCCATGTCCGGACTCCGAGTGGTGAGAGTGCGGCTCTGAGATACACGGAGACACGACACACGGAGATACAACAAATTAGTTAGTCATGACACACGGACACACGCTATGCCGAGACACGACACGGACACACGCTATGCAAAGACACGACACGCGGAGACACGCCACGCAGAGACAGGCCACACGGGTGTCGCGGTCACCGATGGCGTGGGGGATGAGGTGGAGGAAGGCGTCTCCGAGGAGTCCCCCCGAGGCGAAGCTGAGCAGCGTGTGCAGCAGCGAGGAGCGGCGCGCTGAGTCCGAGTCGAGCGGCACGAGGAAGAGTATGAGGAAGGGCGCGGCGGAGATCAGCAGCGTGGCGCCCAGGGCCTGCGGGGACACGGTGAGACACGGGGACACGGTGAGACACAGTGAGACACGGGGACACGGTGACATGGTGAGACACGGGGACACGGTGAGACACAGTGAGACACGAGGACACGGTGACATGGTGAGACACGGGGACACGGTGAGACATGGAGACAAGACACGGAAACAAACGACGGCACGGTGAGACACGGTTACATGGTAAGAGACATGGAAACACACGACGGCACGGTGAGACATGGGGACATGGCGAGACACCGGGGCATGATGAGACACGGGGAGAAGACACGGGGAGAAGACACGGAAACACACGGCGGCACGGTGAGACACGGGGAGAAGACACAGAAACACGGCGGCACGGTGAGACATGGTGACACGTTGAGACACCGCGACACGATGAGACACGGGGACACAGTGAGACACAGGGAGAAGACACGGAAACACAAGGTGGCACGGTAAGTCACGGGGGCACAGAGACACGGGGAGAAGACACGGAAACACGGCGGCACAGCGAGACACGGGGAAACACGGGGACAGCACAGAAGCGCCGGGGTCTTGAGGAAGTAAAAAAAGAGCAAGGCACACATGGAGACGGGAGACACGTGGAGCTACGGAGGGACACCTGGAGGCACGGATTAATCTATACATATATACAGGGGCGAAGCCAGGATTTTGACTTTGAGATATCCAGTTTATTCTAGATTTGAAGCTTTCGTGACTGCAATGATCCATACTCTTTGGTTCTATTCGGTAAAGTCACTTAGGTAAAAATAAAATAACAGATAGGTGAAAGCCCTCCCCGTAGTGGTTCTCAATTCTAGATTTTAAGCTTACGGGGAGGGCTTTCACCTATCTGTTATTTTATTTTTACCTATGTGACTTTACCGAATAGAACCAAAGAGTATATCCAGTTTATGTTTTCCAATGGGCGCCACAAATGCATAAAACAAATTTGATTGGATTTGAACGCGGAGTTTATTAATAGGTCGGAGCCGCTGATGTGGCTAATAAGTTCGTTAAGTTCGAAAGGCTGCCGCTCAAGCAGCCTGCAGGGCAACACACAAGGTGGCAGCCTGCAGGGCAGCACGAGGTGGCAGCCTGCAGGGCAGCACGAGGTGGCAGCACAAGGTGGCAGCCTGCAGGGCAGCACAAGGTGGCAGCACGAGGTGGCAGCCTGCAGGGCAGCACAAGGTGGCAGCCTGCAGGGCAGCACAAGGTGGCAGCACAAGGTGACAGCCTGCAGGGTAGCACGAGGTGGCAGCCTGCAGGGCAGCACAAGGTGGCAGCACGAGGTGGCAGCCTGCAGGGCAGCACAAGGTGGCAGCCTGCAGGGCAGCACAAGGTGGCAGCACAAGGTGACAGCCTGCAGGGTAGCACGAGGTGGCAGCCTGCAGGGCAGCACAAGGTGACAGCCTGCAGGGCAGCACGAGGTGGCAGCCTGCAGGGCAGCACAAGGTGGCAGTCTGCAGGGCAGCACAAGGTGGCAGCCTGCAGGGCATCACAAGGTGGCAGCCTGCAGGGCAGCACAAGGTGGCAGCCTGCAGGGCAGCACAAGGTGGCAGCCTGCAGGGCAGCACGAGGTGGCAGCCTGCAGGGCAGCACAAGGTGGCAGCCTGCAGCATTTTGCAGCAGCCGGATATCCGGTTATCCCGATTACCGACTTTCCCAAAAATTCAGGGGGGGCTGAGCCCCCCCTGTGGCTCTGCCCCCCCCTGTGGCTCCGCCCCTGCATATATATGAACTTCTTTCGCGCAATACGTAGCCAACCGTTCTAATCGGAGGCACACGAGGAGAGAGAAAGAGAGAGACGTGGAAGGGGCACGTGGAGACGCTGAACACAGAGGGACACGTGGGGACACGGAGAGACACGTCAGCACTCCAGTTGTCATGGGGCGGATCAGCAGACACGGATAAAGACGGCGACTGCGCGTCACGGGTCGACTGAAATGACTGGCAGCTTGCACCACGTGCTGCCCGCTGTGTCAAAGGCAAAAGGTATCCCCCCCCCGCCACCAGCGTAGACTTCGACAGACTGTTGGGGCAAGTGCCTGCCTGGTTGGCTACGTACGGTGCGCGAAGGATGTTCAACAAAGGAGTTGAACATACAGTGAATGCGCTTTAAGGCTGGCTTGGTGTACGAAGGGGTTAGTGGCCAGATCCACTGCCCGACTCAGCCCTACTCATTTAGGGCTGAGTCGACCTAGAGGGAGGCTCAAGACCGGTTCAGATATTCACCACTCAAGTTGGCTTTGAGCGTTAATCGACCTCGGGGTCTCCGGGGTTCGTAGACCCGCAGTACGCTCACTCACTGCGCCACCGCTCCCAATAAATAAGACAAAGATCCCCTTAAAGCAGTCGCTGTCAGCGGGCAGCACCTATGAAGGCCGGCACGACACACGAGTGGGGTTGGGTGGCCAGCACCACGCCCGGCCGCCTTTGTCTTCCCGCAGTGGACGATGTTTTTTACACACCGCACAGGGCACTCGTTCGAGGCCGAGTCGACCTAGGGGTCGACGCGATGGAGCCGCGATCCAAACACATTCGACCCCGACGGCGGCGGCGTTGTTGGGGGTTGGTCGTGAGCGGGACTCGAATCTCGGCTCGCCGCGCTAACCGCTGCGCCACCGCTCGACGCGACACGTGGAGGGCACGGCAACACCGAGCCGCTCGCTCGCTGGCCGCCACAACAACAGCCGCCGCCGCCGTCGTTCGCTTCTCGGCGGCGGCGACGACGCCTGCCACGGCGTTTGTGCCAGGCTCGGTGCGCTTTTGAGGCCGTCGCGGTGGAAGTGTCGAAGGCCCCCCCCCCCCCCGCCGCTGCTGACGGGAGGTCACGGGGCGCAGACCCAGCAGGTGCCACGGGTTGACTAAGATGACTGAGATGAGTGCCTGATGCACCACCTGTGCCCCCTACTGTGCCAACTTGCTGTGCTTCAGCCACCCGGCGCTCTGCTCGCATCTACACAGCGACAGGCCTCACCTGCATCCACACGGTCGCCACGTCTCTCCTCTCCGGCGCATGGAGCTCCTCCTCCTCCCCCTGCTGCTGCTGCTGCGTCTTGGCCGTCTCGTAGTGTTTCTTGTGGTACTTGTCGGCCGGGTTGGCGGGCTCGTGGGCGTGAGGGCAGCCCCCGCCGGGCCCGTGCGTGTGGCCGTGTCCCGCGTGCCCGCCGTGAGTGTGGCCGTGCCCCGCTTGCCCGCCGTGAGTGTGGCCGTGCCCCGCGTGCCCGCCGTGAGTGTGGCCGTGCCCCGCTTGCCCGCCGTGAGTGTGGCCGTGCCCCTGGCCGCTCACGGTCGCGCACACGAGGCCCGCGAGGAGGGCGAGGCGGAGGAGGGCGAGGGGAGACATTGTGGGGTGCAGGGCCTGCCGCTGGGAGCTAGCTGCTCTGGGTCTCTCTGCTTTGGGAGTCTCGCTCTCCTTTCTCCAAGGGCCCCCCTCTTACCGGATTCGCCCTGGTTCGGGATCTGGTTCCCGCTCACAAAGTCGGGATCTTCGTTTCCCCGGTAACTCTGCCCGCCGGTGTTGTGGACGTCCGTCCCCACGCTGGTCGTGGTCCCTCGGGGAGGGGTGACGTTCCGCTCGGGCACTCGTGCTTCGCTCAACCGCGGTTCCGTTCCGCTCCGCGCTGTTCCCTCCCGCCGCTCCGGTCTCGCCTCCGACCTCGTGGGGATCCGTCGCCTCGCGATGGGCCCGCCGTTTCGCTCTGCCCCGGATGTGATCTTCCCCTGCGTGCCCACTTCACCATCGCTCGGACACCGCTGCCGAATCGCGCCTCCCTGGTTCCTCCTCCTCCTCTCTCCTCCTTGTCTCGGCCAGGCTCCGGCTCCCTCGACTCCAGCTCCGCGTCCCCGTTCGGCAATTCCACCCCGCCGCCCCCCCCCCCCCAACTGCGGAACGACCCCCCCACGCCGCCTCGCGATTGGCCCGCCGGCCCTCGAGACGTCCGGCGCGCCGCAGCCAATGGGAGCCCAAGCTCGTGGGGCCCCCCCCGCCCCCCTCGCGTTGTGGGGTGGGGGAGCACGTGACGTGGCAGGTCGCGTCGCTCCACGATGAGCGCGATGGCGTCGCCGAAGCCGCAATGCGTGCGTGATGACGGCATCACGCACGCGGCCGTGACGCGCGTGCTCGTTGCAGACGTGTGCTTGCTGACGTCATCGCGCTCTCTCCGCAGCCGCCGTTATGAGCGTGTTGACGTCACCGTTTCTTCAATTGCCGTGAAAGCGTGGTGACGTCGCCACGCGTTTAATTGACTCGGGCCGTGGGTGACAAATCACGCGCCCCTCCCCCGCCCCATCATTGCAGCGCGGTGCGTGATGACGTCAACAACTCCCGTAATTCTTTAACGCGACGACGTCGCTGCCGTGCGGTATTAACGAGATGCGTGATGACGTCACGGTCACAGTGGCGGGAAAAAGCGGTGCGGGGTGACGTCACCGCGCCACATCGGCGTGGGGCTGTGGTGATGGTGGTGATTTTTAGATAATAATTTAACGGTGAGGATTCTTCTCCAGCTCACCCGCTGATATAATCTGCAATCTTAACTCACAACCAACTAGAGTGTAGTACAAGTACCAATGAGGTAACCCGTGCAGTACATGGACGCACTGAGCTTTTTAATCTGCAATCCATGCAACATCATAGGACCTCCCTAGCCTGTATCAAAGTATAAGAATAGGTTTTACCCTTTGTGGCAATAAAACAGGAGGTGTTAAGATTGTTTTGCAAGGAAGCATGTTTGCATTAACCACACATACTTGTGGTATAATGCTCTGATAGTATAATGCATTGTCTTTGACAATTTCAATTAATTTCATTTTCAGTTCATGTATTAGGAGGTATAGCCCTGTGAACCATGCGGCTCTTGAATCGGGTGCAACCACAACAAGCAAACAAACTAAAACACGAACAAGAAAACATCTTAAAGTGACTATGTGACTGTGCAAACAGAAAATCCATGGAAAAAACCAGCAAAAGTATTCCTGAAAAAAAGCACCGTACACCAACGCTGTGTGCAACAAAAAAATCTCTGGTCCACACCAGACACAGCTTTGTAGCTTCATGTAGCTGCTCACCACGAGCTCTCAATGTCCTGATAGTGGCATTGTGCTGTTCGCCTTTTGGCGCCCTCTGGCCTAACGCTGTTTGAGATGAGGCTCTAAAAAGAAAGCTGTCTCTGGTGTGGACCAATCAGTTTCAAAGACAATGCATCACACACTACCAGAGCATGTGTTTTTGTTGTTTTCATGTTCACCACAATTATGTGTGGTTAATGTAGACATGATTCCTTGCGAAAGGTTTCAGTTTGGTGTTGTAACATCTTAGCACAACTGTTTTATTGCCAGAAAGGGTTTAACATTCTTATAATCTACGCAACCGTCGAGCCACTAGGAGGCAGTAGGCGTCCACTCAGCCTCAAACGTCAACACGAATGCCTGCATCGATTTCCAAATGGGATACGTTTAGAACTCTCGGGGTACGCGTGAGTGGCGACTTTGGTCCACCACTCGGAACAGGGGCCGTGGGACGGATAACGTGGGACTGAGCCATGGGACAGATAACGTGGGATAGAGCCGGGGGACTGAGCCATGGGACAGATAACGTGGGACAGATAACGTGGGACAGATAACGTGGGATAGAGCCGGGGGACTGAGCCATGGGACAGATAACGTGGGACAGAAAACGTGGGATAGAGCCGTGGGACAGATAACGTGGAACAGAGCCATGGGGTAGATAACGTGGGATAGAGCCGGAGGACTGAGCCATGGGACAGATAACGTGGGACAGATAACGTGGGATAGAGCCATGGGACAGATAACGTGGGATAGAGCCGGGTACAGATAACGTGGGATAGAGCCGGAGGACTGAGCCATGGGACAGATAACGTGGGACAGATAAGGTGGGATAGAGCCATGGGACAGATAACGTGGGATAGATAACGTGGGATAGAGCCGTGGGACAGATAACGTGGGACAGATAACGTGGGACTGAGCCATGGGACAGATAACGTGGGATAGAGCCATGGGACAGATAACGTGGGACAGATAACGTGGGATAGAGCCGTGGGACAGATAACGTGGGACAGATAACGTGGGACAGATAACGTGGGACTGAGCCATGGGACAGATAACGTGGGACAGATAACGTGGGATAGAGCCTTGGGACAGATAACGTGGGACAGATAACGTGGGACAGATGACGTGGGACAGATAACGTGGGATAGAGCCGGGGGACAGATAACGTGGAACAGAAAACGTGGGATAGAGCCGTGGGACAGAAAACGTGGGATAGAGCCATGGGACAGATAACGTGGGACAGATAACGTGGGACAGAAAACGTGGGATAGAGCCGTGGGACAGATAATGTGGGATAGAGCCGTGGGGCAGATAACGTGGAACAGATAATGTGGGATAGAGCCATGGGACAGATAACGTGGGATAGAGCCATGGGACAGATAACGTGGGACAGAGCCATGGAACAGATAACGTGGAACAGATAATGTGGGATAGAGCCGTGGGACAGATAACGTGGAACAGAAAACGTGGGATAGAGCCATGGGACAGATAACGTGGGACAGACCCATGGAACAGATAACGTGGGATAGAGCCGTGGGACAGATAACGTGGGATAGAGCCGTGGAACAGATAACGTGGAACAAATAATGTGGGATAGAGCCGTGGGGCAGATAACGTGGAACAGATAACGTGGGATAGAGCCGTGAGACAGATAACGTGGGATAGAGCCGTGGGACAGATAACGTGGGCTCACAAACACGTGGGAGGAGGAGACATCGTCACAGCAGCGATGACGCCACACCGCTTGCTACTCCTGACGCAACCATCTGGCCCATCAATCGCCGCAGTGTAAAAGTATCACACGAAGACAAATATCTTTCGACGCACACAGGGATTTATAGATTCACACGGACATAAATGACGTCACGCGATTTTGGACGATGTTTGACCCCCCCCGTCACACGGCGTCACAAAAAGTCAGACCCCCCCTCAAATATGATGCCACAAAGCTCTGCCCCCCCCCCGCCCCAAAACCATATTTCCATTAAAATAAAACATGCTTCAAATCGCTTTAAACTATTGTCATTGTAGTGCGTATTTAACGTGGCGCTGCACCCTGATGTTGTAGGAGTGTTGTTTTAATAATTCTATATTTATGTAAAGTTGCACATTTTGATGTGACGTCACATTTCCCAAACCCCCCCCCCTCGTCACACATCGTCACAAATGTCTGCCCCCCCCCTCCTAGGTGCGTGACGTCATTTATGGACGGCCCCATATTAGACTCACGCCTTTTGGCGTCATCTGGTCGAGCACCAATTAGGTCGAGGCTCAAAAGAAAGCCGTCCCTTGGTGTGGACCATTCAGTTTCAAGGACAATGCCACATATTATCATAGTATGTTTTTTGTTTGCATTTTGACTGCAGGTATCGTGGTTAATGCAGACATGAATCATTGTAAAAAGGTTTAAGTTTTGTTGCCAGAAAAAAAGGGGAAAACCCCTATTATGTACAGATGTATACAACAATACACTCACATAGAGACTCGTAGACTCACGCGGGGATATATAGATTCACACAGAGACTCGTAGAGACCCATAGGCTCACACAGATATACTGTTTCAAAATTCACACTGAGAGCCGTAGACTCACACAGGGATCTATAGATTCACACTGAAATTCATAGACTAACACAGAGAGCTATAGACTGAGACCCAGAGACCCACGCTGAGCACTTCCGATTAGCACGGTTGGCTACGTACGGTGCGAAAGAAGTTAAACATACAGAGACACCCATATACTCACACAGCGACCCATAGACTCACACATAGACCCACAGATTCACACTGGGTCCCATAGACTCGCACGAGATTTATAGATGTACACTGTCTTATAGTATCTCCCTGTGTCCCCGTGTATTTCACTGTCTCACGGTGTCCCCGTGTGTCAGTGTTCATGTGTCCCCCGTGCGTCTTTGTGTATCTCTAGGACACACAGCCGGTCGACGAGACTAATCGCGAAGTGGCAGTCGAAGGATGGAACGCGTCTGAGAGGGCGCATCCAGAGGGAAGATGGAGCGACGGTGAGATCAACTCGTGTGTAGGTGCCACGTGGAGCGCATTGCAGGATCACGAGAAATCTGATCTGATGGTGGTGGTGAGCGGTGGTGCAAAAGTTAGCGCTACGCTGCGCTACGAATCCGGCCACCCTTGTTCAATTCCCCTTCACGCCAACAAAAATTGACGGTTATCTGCACCGGTCCTGTGCCTCCCCTAGGTTGACTCAGCCTGAAATGAGTACCTGGTGACAAAGGCGGCCGGGCGTGGTGTTGGCCACCCACCCCCTCGTGCGCCGTGCCGACCTTAATAGGTCATCGCTGCCAGCACTTGCCCCAACAGTCGACGTCGCCTAAACCGAGGATTGTGTGTGTGCAATGCAAGGCCGTGGCCATGGAGTAAACATTGGGGGGGGGGACCAAATCTTCCAGGGGCTCTTGGGGTCCACCCCCAGAAAAAAAATCTAAATTTGAAAACGAATTTCCTGCCTAAAATGTAAAACAATTCACTAACACATAGGATGGACTTTTAATAAAATGTTTACAATAATGTCTAATAGTGTATTGTATTACATTGCTTTTTTATTTTTTTTACACAAATCTTGTTTCATTGTATGTAATGGCAGAGATTAGGGATTAATAAAGTACAACCATAACCACAATCATATAAACAGAAATCTATTTTATAGCAATATATTGGGGGGGGGGGGCATTTTGAGCATATTTGAATATTGGGGGGATGTGTCCCCCCCAATATATATTATAATTGCGGCCTTGGTGCAATGCGCTACTCAATTCGGTGATCCCACA